GCTTTTATAAGATTAGGAGTTTACTGCTTTATCTCTGTTAAGTTTGAGCTTTAAAATTTGAGTTGAAGATTTACTTGAAGATGCTTTAGCATCAAAATAAAAACATTAAACTATAAATATAGTAAACTTTAAACCATAAATATAATCCATAAAGAGATTGGGAACTTTTCTGATATGTTTACAGTGGCCCATTATAGAGTATCATAGTTTTTTTTGTAATGTTTTTATTTAAATTAGAAACACAAATGCTTCACATATCAATCGCAGCTCCCTCTCCCACCCCTTCTCCCTTGTCCCTCCACCAGTCCCCCCAGTCTCCCAGCCAACCCCCACATCTTTCCCCAGGGAGGGTGAGGCTCTCCTTTCAGGGATCTCTAAAGTCTGTCATTTCATGCAGGGCAGGACCTAGGCCCTTCCCCATGTGTCCAGGCTGAGAGAGCATCCCTCTATCTGGAATGGGCTCGCAAAGATGATTCATAAACCATGGTAAACACTGATCTACTTCCCAAGGCCGAAATGATATCTGTGGCCTCCTCACTGAGACTATGTTCATGGAGTCTGGATCAGTCCCCTGTTGGCCTCTCAGGCATCAGTCTGGGATTCAAGAGCTCCCCCTTATCCAGTCAGCTGACTTTGTGGATTTCACCATCATGGTCTTGACCCCTTTGCTCATCACTCCTCCAACTCTGTCACTAGATTCCAGGAGTTCAGTTCAGTGTTTAGCTGTAAGTATCTGTCTCTGCTTCCATCAGTCACTAGATGAAGGTTCTAGGATAGCATATAAGGTAGTCATCAACCTTACCATCAAGGAGGGGCATTTAATGTAGTCTCTCCATTATTGCTTAGTTTGCCAGGTGGTGTTATCTTTGTAGGTCTCTGGAGGTCTCACTAGTGTCAGCTCTCTCCTCAGGCCTATAATGACTCAATCTATTATGGCATCTCTCAACCTGCTCTCTTCTATTCTTACCTAGACTCAAACTTCCTGCTCTTCCATACGTTCTTCTCCCCTCCTCTTATCCCCTCTCATTTTCCTGGCTCCCTCTCCCCTCCCCTGATGTTCCCAATCTGCTCAAGAGATCTTGCCTCATTCCACTTCTCTGGAGTATCATGCATCTATCTTGGGAACCTCCCTGCTTCCCAGATTCACTGGCACTGGGATTGTAAGCTAAGACTCCCCTGATCCATAACTAAAATCCATATATCATTGAGTATATATCATGTTTGTCTTTTTGTCTCTGGGATACCTCACCCAGGATGGTTTTCTCTAGTGCCATCCATTTGCCTGCAAATTTCAAGATTCCATTGTTTTTTTTTCCACTGAATAGTACTCCATTGTGTAAATGTACCACATTTTCTCTATTCACAATTCTGTTGTGGGGCATCTAGGTTTCTTCCAGGATCTAGCTATTACATATAATGCTGCTATGAACATAATGGAACAGACATCGTTGTGTGAAGGGGCAACTTTTGGGTATATGCCTAAGAGTGAATTGCTGGGTCTTGTGGTACACTGAGTCCCATTTTCCTGAGGAATCTCCATACTGATTTCCATAGTGGCTATATGGGTTGGCATTCCCACCAGCAGCGGAGGAGTGTTTCCCTTCCTCCACATCCTCTCCAGCACAAACTGTCATTGATGTATTTGATTTTAGCCATTCTGACAGGAGTAAGATGATATCTCAGAGTTGCTTTGATTTGCATTTCCCTAATAGCTAATGATGTTGGAGAAGGTGTTCTGTGGATAAAAGGGAGAACATAGTCAAAGGCAGGGATATCTGGGAGAGTCCTGAGTGAAAATGATCCAGAACCAGGCTTTGTGAGGAGATGGGGAAGGAACCACTGACAAGATGGTCAGTCTGAGCCAAGAGACCGGCCCAAAAACTAGCAAAGCAAAAATAGCTGAATTATATAGGATCCAAAGAAACTGGAGGGAGGAAGCCCAGCCTAATAACTGTGCTGGCTAGTTTAGGATAGGGGACAGGTTATGCTAGGCAGGATGGCTGTGTAACAGGTAGAGACTGAGGGATGTTGGGAGAACCTGGGAGACCTGCTTTGATATGTTAATGGGCACCTCAGTTAGCCATTTTTTCCAGGATTTGAGACCTAACAAAGGGTTGGTTTTATATTATTTTTAATAAGCTCCACTTCCCCAGTTATCAATCTGTATGTAGAATGTCTTTTATGCATAATTCACACCATCCTGCCACACCCTACACATGAAGAATTTTATCCCTTCTTGTAGGGATGGCTTGAGCTTCTTCACTTTCCTTGGGACAATGTTTGGTGCCTCTTAACTATGGCTGCAGGAACTTCTGTGATATATTACATAGGATATGTGTGTTTCTCTGAAGTACACATGCTGGAAATAATGGCAGGCAGAAGTCAAAAGATGTATAAACAGTTCATCTTGCAGGTGAAAATTCTAGGGTATATTTCATAAAATAGGCATCAATGGCTCATATCACAGGTTGTCAATAGTAATATTTTTAAAAGACCATTTTGGTTTTTTATCATTTTTCATGTTTCCCATGTTGTATTCTTGTTGGCTTGAACACTATTCCAGATATACTGATATAAATCTTTGTCTCAGCATTCATTTGGAGGGAGAATACAGAGCTTTAAGCTGGACCTTTGACGATGACTCCCGAGGAATTAACTGCTATTGATGTTGTCATGCCATCTGCTAACAGGAGCACCAAAATCATTAAGACTTTCATTTGGAAGTGAACGGAATGGTAGAGAAGTGGTTTATATTGTGCCTGAGTGAATGAATAGTATGAACTTATTTGGCCTTTAAAGCTGTTTCAAAAATCATTGGGGGCCAGTAAACACCATATTCCAGAGAGCTGAGTATCAAACAGAGGTGTATTATATGGAACCTATGGAAGTCAGAGGTACTGTACGTGTTTATCTTAGGATATTATTGTAGGAAACCTAGAGATGCAATTATTGAGTTTAAGAAATGCAGACTTTGGATGATCCCCAGCTATGAGACCTTATATGGTTTGCTTTAGCTGTGAAAGCAAAGCCAGAAAAGTAAGCAAACAAACAACCAAGTTCATCCAATTCATTGTTCATGTAAGGCAGCTGAGTTGAGGAAACATAAGGACTTGGATATTTCAATCTATTGGATATAACTCTGATGGGTAGAACAGAGATTTTCTTGCCATATTAGCTGAGGTCATGTCAGGTATGCATCACAGTTTCCCTTCTGTCAATCTTTGCTACTTTCCATTCACAGGTGTTTGTCCAAAATTAGTTCCTTTTGTCCCAGAACCTGATTCTGAGAAACTTGTGTAGTGATAATTGCAAGAGTAGACTTCACTGAGATTCGTGCATAGATTCTAATTGGAACAATGACAGCATTGCCAAAGAGACTTAGATATCTTTTGGAAGGCCTTGCTGATCAGAGGTCATAGTCTATCATGACCTGGCAGCTTTTTTTAAAAAGCTCAAGGACATGGGACTCCCTCCTCCCCAGGGAGACTCCCTGATCTATACTTGCCTTTATCTGGAGACTGTCCCTGGGCCCAGAGGACTGACCTCATCTGAAAGACATCTCTAAGCCTGCATGTCTGACTTATCTCTAGGGTGACTCTTGGCATAGTTTACTGCTAGAAGATTCCCCTGATTCACATATGGTAACTAAGATTTGTGCTAGGAGCTTTGCTATAGGACCCTACTACCACATATGAAGCCTTATGATAGGAGCATGCCACTTAATGCAAATTAGGGTTTGTCCCCAGGCTCTCCAATCCCATATATTCCTTACACTCTGGAATAAAAATGAACTGAGTCACTGAATTCATCTCCAGGATGACTTTCTCCATCATACCCACAGCTGTCCAAACCCTGTTTCCCATTTCTACTCCCTCCACTCTTGTGAGCCAATGGACCCACAAGATCCTGGGATCCACAGGGATCCTAGGAAAGGAGCAGAGTGACAAATATGTACCCACAACATAATTTTTATGTTTTAATGTGGGTCCTTAATGGGAAAGAGTAGAAGTCTACAGATTAGGGAGAAGATATTTAAACAGAATACCTGGCAACATGAACCTTCCAGATTTTTTAGAATACTGGTATACCCTAACCCTTTTCAATTATTATTGAAGTGCAAGTTCTCCAAGGTTGGTTCTTATGAAAGGGTCTATCCTATGGCAGCTGTCTTACAATATGAATTTACTTGCTACCTCATTCCTACTGCCTCCAGATGGTAAGTATTGCTGTGCCTCAATATATCACAATCAAGAGTATGCCTTGTTTCAACATAAAAGTGATGATATGGCAAAGTAAATGAATTTCCTAACTGATACATATTGGCAAAAATGGGAAATATTAAGTATCAAAAACAATGGTAAATAACCAATTTGTGAGCTCTGGGGAGACTAATTCTCATGCTCTCAGTATATTTGAAGGCTTGGAGAGGAAGAAAGTGAAAGATGAAATTATGTAATCATATTATAATCTCAAAAACTTAAATTAATTAAAGTAGGTTGGTGGAACATAAAAGTAGAAAAGAGTTTATTTACATGAAGTGCTTAATCATGAACTAGGTTCAACTTGACATAGGATACTAGGAGATGGTTTTATTATACTGCTAGGAGGTACCTTAGATTCCAATTTCAAGTGGGTGTCCTCCTCCAGACTTGTACTTGGGGTAGCACTAAATGGACTCACGAGGTTTTACACACACACACACACACCATAATAATAAAAATATGTCTTGTTTGAAAATATGTAATGAAGTGATTGTCACCGCTGTCCTCCTTGGGCAGAAGTAAACCCTTTGGTAGAATCAGCACCATGATTGCTAGTACTTGCCATGCTCAGTGGTTTATTGCATTCTTATCAGCACACATCAGTAAACAATGTCAAAGGCAGTTTTCTTTCACATGAGATCAGCAATATACTCTCAGAGCTTTTAACTCTCATAACTTAATTTACAGAGTCAGAAATCATTTGACTAATCTTTTGAACATTATGCTGGTTTGTTACAGGAAATATATTGTGCTGGTTGTACCTGGTGAGCATGAAGTGCCATACACTACAGCTGCTCTTGTGAAACAAGTGCATGTAACAGCAGAAAATGAAGCCAACATATTTCCAGGGCATGGTTCACCAGCATGGAAAGTGCTATGGAGTGGAGTGCAGGTTGATGTATACCACACACTCTCTTGGTAAGAGGGAGCTCAATATAGCATTTGGTATGTCTTGTTTGTATTCCAGAGCATTGCTGTATATGTTTTGAACATATGTTTGTCTATTTATCTCCAGTATCTGGAATACATAAATCATGGAGCTATTAAGATTGATATAGAATTTTGTGCTTTCACACAGCCCGTTAGTCCATTTGTAGACTCCATTGCTTCCTCCAAACCTTAGGTTCTGCAGAACTGAAGGTGATCTCACTAGAGGAATGCTTTTAACAGGAAAGAAAGGGGTTTCACTGAACTTCAGGTTCTGACTTTCTGTGTGGATGCTGTTGGGCACATTCAGCTCCACTTCAGAGCTAAGACAAGGATCCCAAGAGCTGCTGATGGCTCACAAGCATCATCCTCAGGTATTGCTCTCAGCTAAGTGGAGCTGTTTCCTTCAAGTGATTCCTCTTCTCAAGAGATGTCTCACATCCAATGTATGATCAAGAGGTAAATTAAACAGGATACTTAAATGTAGTACAGAGCTGGAGGTCAAAGTAGAGTAGGGATAACTAACACTAAAGGCTTCTGAAAAGCCACATGGGAACCTAATACTGTAAAAAAGGCTTCCTAAAATATATACATATATAAAAGTAGTTTAAATGGAGTTATCAATGGGGAGGGATGGAAGGGTATACACAAACTAGATGTCATATGTTACCAAATAAAATCCCTAGTACCAGAAATAGGTTACATTGTTTTGAGTTGTTGGGCAACAGGGTCCCACAGACTCTAAAATATCATGGGCTATTGCCAATGCTATTCATTGTTCTTCATAGTTTGATGGGAAGATCCCATTGCTGAAGGCACAGAACAGAGATGTAGCCAGTATTGAACTAAAAGTTTCACTCTTACTAATTAGTATGCATAGTGTTAGGAGGTACATTCTACTAGAGGTGAAAACTATTAATCAATCTCACTCAACTATGAATCTGTGAGCTACAATAATGACCTTCTGGAAAGATATGCCCATTGGCACAATAATGACAAGAATGCTAGAGGACAACTAATCACCTTTTGATCAGACTTAAGTCTTATTCCATAAGATGCAACCCATACCTGACATTGTTAATGAGGTCAAGAATCTGAGACACAGTAGGGCATAGCCCCAAACCTGTCTATCTCTGTCCCTCATGACGGTACTTTCTGAATCTTGTTCCAGCAAACTTCCTGAACACAAAACTTTTAACTTCTGTCTCTAAGAAAACCTGAAGGAAGACAGAAACTTTTTGCCTTGGGCTTCTCACATACGTATAGATCAATAGGCAAAGGAAGCTATACTACAGAATCATGGAAATAATCTCTAGGATCCTATTAAATTCATTCTGCTTAATGAACATAGCAATAGAACATCTTCTAATTGACTTATTACTATACCCACAAATCAATGTAGTGCTCAACTCTCATCATAGAAGCTTCTTCTATTAGTAGATGACAATTAGAACAGAGATCCACAACTGGAGAATGTATACAAAGTGAGAGATTTTGAAGTGTTCAGTACTAAATGGTATGTCTTTATTGAACCTCCCCCTCAAGTCTCATGATCTATGTGGATAAGGAAGGGGAAAGTTGGTAAGATCTGGAGGTGGTGGGTGACTTCAAGGAAATAGTGTTTTCCAAACTTAATAGGACAGATGCACATATGAGCTCACAGAGACTATGGCAGGACTCAAAGATCTACACAAGTTCAAGCTAGACAAAACCCAGCACTGATGAAAGGAATTAGGTACAGAGTCCCACCCCTAGCCAAGAAAGTATTCAAATTGATAGCTTCTTGGACAGGTAGATCAGTTTTCTTCGACTGAGTGGCACTGGGTATATTGACCACATTTCAGTGCAGGCCCCATGACCAGGTGTAGTAGACAAACATAAACCAGAGGTAAGGCAGATCTGGGAGGAGTTGGAGAAATGTGGTAGAATAAGATCAAAATATAATGTATAAAATTATCAAATAATAAATGAAGCTTTAAAAATGTTAAGCTAAAATCAGTATAAAGTTGGGGCACTCAGAGCGAAATCCTGTACAGCCTTGGAGTCTCTAAGTTGGTACTCTCTCTATTCAATGCTACCTGTCTCTGTCTTCCATGAGGGTTCATCCTGAATGCTATTTCCAGCTAGCTTCTTTAACACAAAGCTTTTCAATGTCTGCCTCTAGGCACACCTGAAGGAAGACAGAAACTTGTTGCCTTGGGCTTCTCAGGCACAGTGGTCAATAGGCAAAGGAATTGTACAACAGAATCAGGGAAGTAATGTCTGTGGTCCACAAAAGTCTCTGATGCTTCATTTCATGCTTTCATGCTGGTATCTGTATTTAAAAAATCAAACAACAACTTCTTAGAAAGGAAGCTAGGTCCTACACGGGTGAATCCATGAAGCCTGGGATCTTCAGCTGCAAAGGGGATGGTGGAGAGGGAGGAAAAAGTATAAGTGGTGGAGAAAATGGCAAGTTCATTTATGGCTCAAGACATGCTGTAGTACTTAAGACTTCCTTCAGTAACTGTAGCATTAAGCATATATAGAATGCAGATGCCTGCCTCTGTTATGGGGACAACATGATGAATGGAAGTTAATGTGGGCTACAAGGAGGATGAATAATCCAGAGGCTGGGCTTTATCAGACACAAAGCACATACCATTTTACAGCCTGTTAATAGGAGCCTCAATTTTCCTCATGTTGTTGGGGTGACTGTAACTCCATTTCTCTCCCATCCACCAGTTACTGAATCACCACTCTGAGGCTTAATATTAATATTAATCATGAATGTTTGGCCAATGACTCAGGATTATTACTAGCTAGCTCTTACATTTAAATTAACCCATTTCTATTAGTCTGTTTAATCTCCACAAGGCCTGTGGCTTATCCGTGATGCTCTGGCAAACATGTTCCTTGGGTAGCTGAAGGGCTTCTCTCAGATTCTGTTATTCTTCTCCTGTATCTCTGCTTGGAATTCCTTCCTGGCTCTATCCTTCTTGCCATAGGCCAAAGCAGCTCTATTTATCGACCAATGAGACCAACACATATTTATAAATATAGAAAGACATCTCACACCAGGTGATTGGTTCTACATCAGTCTAAGACTGTTGTGATGGGTAACTGCTTCTTACCCACCATTACTTGCTTCAGGCTTCTTTCCTTGGAATGTCTATGGTGTCAACATGATATTTCCACCTTAACTCCAGGCTGCAGACATTGAAATAAATGACCTAATCAGTTGAGAGGAATAAAGGTAATGGGGGACTTATGACTGATGGAGAACAGAGATCAATAGAAACATGCTCTGGTATTTCTTCCTCTCTGTGGATAGTCATCCTTCAGGTGGAATACAAATTGTCCCATGTTTCAGTCTTCCTCTGCCAGAGGCATGGGAGTATACAGTAGGTGACAACTAGTATTCAACAGGACTACCTACCAGATGAATCATTCTCTGGTAAAGACCATGGTGTCATTGACTGTAAATGACTATCCCTGTAATTTTTCTCACATGCCACTAAGAACAGTTATGGATAATTTCCCCCACTGCTTGCATGTGTATCTCATGAAAATATTCCACCTACTGGGCACATATATAGCTGTGGATGATCATGAAGATGAAGTCTGCTTAAGTTGTATAATTCTGATGAGTAGAGATAATACTAGGATATTTTTCATTACTCAGACTGACTTAAGAAAGTAATAGTATTTTCAGTCACCAATTTTACACTTCAGTAAAAATTCAAAGCAAACTGGAGATGAATATCTATTTGCCCCTAGAGACAAATGTACAAGATCAATTTCCCAGGTGTTTATTGCTGAGTCAAGGTCAGAGCATGAAGCAATTTAAAAAGACATAATTTTTTGAGTAATGGACTTTCTGCACATACTCCCCAAACTCGAGGTTTAGCCAAGTATTTGTTTATTAAATCTTGAATTTCAATGACACTTTCTGTCTGAGAACCTTGACCACTCAGAGCTACGTGCTTGCTTTTACTCACTGGCCAGTAAGCGTGACCTCCCTAGGCCGAGGGAAACACTTTGGCTCTGTTTCTTATTGTTTACTCAAAAAGAACTACATTACACTGAAAATTTGATTCATATTTGTTCACAGGTTTTGGCAATAGAGGAAGTAGGAGAGATGTAGGGGGAATTAGGGGAGAATTTGAGAAAAATGTTTATGTGCATTGGTAGGAAGATGTAGCTAAATGTGCAGGAGGGCTTAAAGATGTGTGAAAGGTGTGTGTGTGTGCATAAGGGAAATGTATCTGAAGTGCAGAGAAAGAGAAGTGTGGAGAGATATAGCAGAGTGGGTAGAGAGATATAGAAGATGTAGAGATACATGTATGGAGGAGAGATGTGTGGGAAGGAAGAGGTATATGGGTGTGGGGAGAATATAACTGTGTAGAGAGAGATGTGGCTGTGTAAAGAAGTGAGGAAGCATGTAGCTGTGTGGGGAATGTGTAGAGAATGTTACTGTGTGAAAATAGATGTAACTATGTATAGAGGGGTCTGACTGTATAGAAGATAGATGTAGCTGGGTACAAAGATAAAACTGTGTGTAGAGAAATGTAAATGGAATTCTTAATTGGTCTAAGTAATAAAAACCTGGAGTCAGATATAGAGGAAAATGCTGAGAGATTAGAGAGAAGGAGCAAACCACTGCCACACCTTACCTCCTTAGCGTCTCAGCAGACAAGAGAGTGAGTTCCTGTTTCTCCCTGTTTATATCCTGTTTCTGCCCAGCTACCTCACTTCCATTCTGTCTATACAGAACTCTATTGTTAGCTAGTGGCAAGCTCTATTCTCTGACCTCCAGACAGGCTTTATTTGTACAAGCAAGATATCAGTACATATCCTACTTTTTTGTATAAAATTTGAAAAATAAGATTATAACTAATATAAGAAAATTATGTACAACAAGTTCAATAAGTATATACAATATGTATAGGCAGTAAGTACATTAACAATATCTAGTCCAGGAGTTCAATTTGGTTCACAGATGTGGGTGT